AACAGGAGTGTGCCGTGCTACAACACCATGTACACTCTATGGCGAGTGTGTTAGCAGGATGCTTACGCACGCGCATGGCCCAGCAGCCACCTGGGTTCAGTTGCATCCCGGATCTTGATAATATAAATCCGGGAGCGGGGCGGGGTAGCATGGGCGTGTGGCGCACGCGCGCGTGCGGCGGCCTTGGCCTTGGCGCGCACGCGCTCGTGGTGGCACCTCCCTTTTTCGCCACGTGTCACCTGCAACATGCGCCACTTTTCTCCCTCGTTTTCGCTGCGAAATACCCGAAAACACTGGAAAAAACCCTTGTCGGGTTTTGCTGTTTTTTCGCCTGTACGGGCTGCTGCCCAGCTGTACGGGGTGGTGGGAGGGAGCGGGGACCGTTCCCGCTCCGATACCAATGTAGCGGACCCACCAGGTATGGTGCTCCGCTAGTGGTAGAGATGGAGATGGAGGAAGAAGGGGGAGCAAGATGACGCACAACGCAACTCCCACGCAGGACTCCAACGCACGTACTCCAGAAATGTGCAAGTGAAGAATGAGACTGAAAACAGACAATGGCTGGGGTATACCCTAGCGGACTGACGGGACTGGACTGGACTGGCTGGTACCGACAGAGGTACCGGCCTGGAATGGCCTACACTGAATACAACACAGGCCTGTGAGAACAGGCCAAGGGGCTGGTCTCACAGGCCAACCCGAGGTCCGCTACAAATTCCAACTGGCCGTCGACTCCTACAGGTCCTCCGAGCTTTCAACAATAAAGGTTTCCCTAATTGTTTCGGTGCCATCAATTGCACCCACCCACATCTATGTGGACAAGCCTGCAACGCGCCGTCCGAAAACTACTTCGATCGGAAGCAACAATTCTCGGTCGTGGCGCAGGTCGTCGTCGACCTTGACATGCGGATCATCGATGTCTTTGTCGGTTATCCTGGTTGCGTCCACGATCAACGCGGAACTCTTCACTACTCAGGCGAGCAAAAGCGGGCGACATCTTCAACGTGGACCCTGTCCTCCTCCCGGGGGGTGTGAGGACGGTAGGGTACCTGCTGGGGGACAACAGTTATTCCCCACGCACGTGGCTTGTGGTTCCGTACGAGGGGTAAGAGCGGACGGGGGCGTTGCTCTTCTCGACACTCGGCAGAAGACTAGGAGGCGGGTCGTAGAAAGAGCGTTCGGACGACTGAAGGGGATGTGGAGGTTATTCCTTCGTCATCACGTCTGGGAACACGCGTGACCATTTACATCGATCGGCCACCGCCGAGGGAGCGTTGAATCCTGCCCTCTCATTCGGAGAATGCCATGGACTGGCCCTCTGAACAACGTTCGTGCCCTGCCAACGGCTACTGAGGCCTCACAACGGTACTGGAGACACCGGTGCCGTGTCTTGCTGGTGCCAATGTCCCCCACTACGGGCTGGTCACAAACGCACTGAACCAGGAACAACTGTGTTTCGTGAGGAAAAAAAAAAAGAAAAGACAGGCTCCGTGAATGATGCACTCCATCGGGTCCCACCCTCACATTTCAAGTCACCTCCGACGGCTCCCTTGAGATTTCGGTCGTTTTGCCTGGGCCACCCTTATTTTTCAGGGGCGAACCCTACAAGCCCGAGATGTGGAAACATTCCGGAGTTCGTCTTCATCCTGATTAGGGTGCTGTGGAAATATGATTTTCTAAGAATCCTTACATTTCAAGTGGTGTCAGGAACCCAAGAACTGATGCTCCCCAGAATGGAAAAAGGAGTTTGTCCTTCGGGACATCCGTTAAAATTGGAACGATACAGAGAAGATTAGCATGGCCCCTGCGCAAGGATGACCATAAATCGAGAAATGGTCCGAAAAAGGAGCCAAAACCGACAGGTTCTGTATTTTTCTTTTTTCGCTGAATTGGGCTGGTTTGGAAGAGGAGGGGTCCTGCAGCAAGGTCATCCGGAAGTATGAGCTCTCGAGGGGCTACTTCAGGAACGACTCTCTTGGTTCGGACTTGGGCAAGTTCAGATCTTTTCCAGATGTTCGGGCATCGCCACACCACTCTCGCAATGTGCAAAATGAGAATGCACTTCCCACCAGACCTGGCCAGATGCGCCCTCCACATTTTTGTCGTTTTCACACTTGCAGAGTGGTGTGGGGACGCCCTTCGACTACCGGTAGCAGGCCTACCTCAGTTGCACGAACATAGCACCAGTGACGCCTGGCACCAAGGAGTGCATGATGGGGTTATCCGGCTCGGGCAGAAACGAGGGGATTGGGGGCATGTTGATTGAAGCTGAGTGGATCCAGGGAATCTCTGCTGTCATGTGTAAGCCTTTTTTTCTTCCTTTTTTTTTTCAAATTCTTTCAGCCATCCATACAACGGCAGAGAGAGAGAGAGCCATGGCGAACCGAAGTTTGCTGCTCGAATGAGGAAAAAGAAAAAAGGCTTGCTGGTCTCCACTGCAAACGATCGGGCGGGCGGAGTGGCAGACGAAGGTAACGTGCGGCTGCCAGCTGGATGGCTGAATGGGACGCAACTTGCCGACCTGAGATGAGTCGGGGTCTGGTGTGACGGGAGAAGCGACGTGGGTCGATCGCGGGTGGTTGCAGGCTGCGAGCGCGCGGCTTTTGCTTTTTCGTTTCGTTTTTTTTTTCGTTTGCGCGCTGGTTTTTCTTCCCTACCTTGGCGGGCTTCTATTTCGTTTTTTTTCCCTTTTTCGCGCGCGAGTTTTTCTTCCCTACCTTGGGCTAGGTCCCACTTGCTCGAATTAAGGGGTACTGACCGTAGATAGCAAAGATCAACGGCCGAAATCTCCTACAAATTTGCGCAAGTGGGACCTTGCCTCTTGGCGGGCTTCTACCAGCAGTGCGAACCCGCCCGGACCCTGCTCTCCTTCCCTCCGCCCAAAATGGTGGGTCGGCGGATGCGACCAGTGGCGGCTTCCATTCGCCCGCCCAGCACCAGAAAAGTGGAGCTTTTCACCCGTCGACCAATTTTACGTACACACATTTACGTTCGCCCATTTCACATTTTTCGCCTTTTGTCATTCATACATAACATAATACATGGTTGTTTTTCTTGCGTTTCTGTGCATGAGTAGAGATGTAATCAGTTAGGCGACGTAGGAACATGCAAGGGCAAGGCCCGGCTCTTCGCGGCGTGGCACGGCACGGCACGGCACGGCGGGTAAGTAGTTCGCGGAGACATTTCGATGGTGGAGCGCGCGGGGTGGCGGTAATTAGCGAGAGTGCTTATCGATGGGTGGGAGTCAAGAGAGCTAGACCGAAGCCAAGGGAGTCGGTGAACTGGTTTGGCGACAATCAAGATCGGTGGATCCATCAACCGATCTATCCATCAATCAAGCAGTGAAGCAATCCATCAACCCATCCATCAATCAATCATCAGTTGATTAATTAGAAAACGTGGTCAAAAACAAAAAAAAGAGAAAGAAAACGTAGGAATCCATGTCTACTTCAAGAGGAGGGGCCCGACCATGCCTGTCTTCGTAAGACAGGACGCGATGCCATCTCTGGCGTCGGTATTGCGAGTGACAACGCACGTGCGCGCGCGAGCGAGGCAGAGCGTCTCAGCTGCTGTCACGTGTCACTCGCTTCGCGTCTTGGCCAGCCACGTGTCGGTTGCTAACTCGACCCGACAGAATACTCCGGGCATGGCTTCGTCTTCCACCGCTGCGGCCTCCGTCGCAAGGACGGCCGCGCTGTCTCCTCCGTCGTCAGTCGTCTCCCCTTGTTGTACGAAGACTACCTCTCCTCCCCCGACCTCCGCCTGCTTGTCCATCACTTCCTCCTCCGCTCGCACGCGCTCTACCTCCTTGGGGCCTCATCGCTTTACAGATGGCCGCCATGAGCGGGGAGTTGCGGCGCCCCGCCTCTCGGCGTCTCTCTCCCTTTCCCCGTCGCCCGCGCGCTCTGCGCCTTCGCTTTTGGTATGTGGGGATGGGGGCAGCAAGAGCTGCGTGTCGAGGCTTGCGGAGGAGTGGGGACGGGGGGCAGAACTCTGTGCGGGCGACCGGTCGTCGTACTCCATCGCCGGCCGCGAAAGCGGCGGGAGCGGGGAGGAGGAGGTGGTAGGCTGTAAAGCGGGGGGAAGGAGGAAGGGATGGAGAGGGATCTTGGGGGTGGGTTGGGTGTACGAGAGAGCGACGTCAAAGGGTATGGGATTCGGGGGCAACAGGCCGGCGAGGGTTGTCGTATGCGGGTCTGGGATTGCGGGGGTAGGCGGTGGGGAAGGAGGACGAGGAGGAGGGTGGGTGTGCGATCATCTCGCGGGAGGAGGTCACGATCGCCGTGCGCGTTTGTTGATGACATCAGCGCAAAGTCGGAGCGGGCACCAAGCGGGGGGGGCGGGTCGGGGACGTCGGGAGGATGCTGGCGGACGAGCAGGGGGGACTCCGCTCGGGTACTTCAGCAGGTCCTATGCGTTCCACTTCTTCAATCCGTCGGTCTCGTTTCCGTCGGACGTGTACTTCCGTGCCATCTACGAGTCCAGCATCTCGGGAGAGGCAGGATTCGAGGCGGGAGCTTTACAGCTCGATGATGAGGTTCAAGGCGAAGACCTCTTGGAGGGCGCTGATGGAGATGGAGAGGACGAGGAACAGAAGGAGGCGGCGCCGACGGCTGTTGAGTCATCGGGGTTGAGCTCTCGACTCAGAACYGGGTAAGTGTTTTTTTTTTTTTTTTCCCGCCCTAGCGCTCTGATATTCATGTGACCATATCGTTTGTGACGATATATATATAATTTTTTTGATATTACGTAATTTGTGTAAAACCCTGATTTTGCTCTGAGCTATGAATCGAAGTGAACGGGGTGTTTAAATACGGAACGGCACGCGAAGTAATTACTTATGCGGGCTTTCCAAGTTTCCCGATTACGTAATTACTGTATTTTTTGTCGTTGCGTGCCTTTCCCTGCTGTCATGACTCGAAGAACCAACGATACCTTCTCCCCCATTTGATTGGAGGAGCGCGCATGGAGAACGGTGTTGGTGTTTACAACGTGAGTGACATCTGCAGTCCCCTCCAAACCAGGACATAATCACGAACATGATTGCATCTGTAGGGGCTCCAATCCCTTTCCGCGGTATGTCTGTGCCTCATCTATCTCTTTGGCTGATCTCTCTCTCTCTCTCTCTCTCTCTTCACTTCCCTCTCTCTCTCTCTCTCTCTCTCTCTCTCTTCTCTTCCCTCTCTCTCTCTCTCTCGTCTCTCTATCGTGTCGTCGGTGTATCTGTCTCATCACAGTCACGACATGGGTTGCTATTGGGGAGACTATCGCGGTAGAAACAAGGTAGACTGAGGTGAAGTCGTAACAAGGTAGCCGCAGGGGAACATGCGGCTTGTTTGACTCCGTACAATTCCGTTCCGTTGTTTCATGTGTTTGTGCCTCGTGTTTCTCTTTGACTGATCTCTCTCTCTCTCTCTCTCTTGCTGTCTGTGTGTGTGTCTCGTCGTACACAACAACGATAGTGGTTGCATTAGAGAGGCTCAATTTCCTTCTGTCGCTTCATACTGTATGTTCGTTCCTCGTTTTATCTTGTGTTTGCTCTCTCTCTCTCTCTCTCTGTCTGACCCACTGTTTTCTCTGTGGCTGCCTTTGTTCTAATGCTCTATAATATAATAATCTCTTTGTTCTTCATTTCTTCATTTCTTCTTCAATCCTCGTCGTGTACACGCTCCCCCCTCTCCCCCTCTCCCCCCC